GAGAAGTGGAGCACTACATCAGTAGCTTTTCATGTCTGTATTGCACGCCGCTAGCTTAGCGCTACGTCAGTGCCATCAGATGTCGACGGGGTGGGGGATATGTGAGAGAGAAGCGGAGCGCTACATCTGTAGCTTTTTAGCTAAGCGCATCTGTATTGTGCACTGCTAGCTTAAAACTACGTCGGTGTCGGCAGTTGTCAACGGGGTGGGGGGTGTTGAGGGGTAGGCAGGGCGCTCATTCTGTTGACAGAGCGGGGCGCCCTCCTTGTATAACAGCAGGGGAAACATTGCAGATGTTCTCTAGCTGAGGGAAAACCAAACCAGGAAATCCTGGGAAGTCTAAAAACTTGCAATGGAACGTTAGTCCCAAGAGAACAACTTCCTTAAAATTACCGGAGAGTTCTTTTAACTGTGCAACCACTCAGGCTTGTAGTTATTTTAAAACTTTGTCACGAAAAGCTCTTCACTTCTACAAGACGTGGCTTTAGTTTTACATTATTGTCAGCAGTCGGAAGAAACTCGTCGGGTTCATCGCTGCGACTAAAAAACTGCACCATGAACATGTTTTTAGTGTTGCTCTTATTCTTTACGGTTCATGAGCTGCAACAATAACATAAAATTAAATAAATAATTGATTTTTTTAACCAACAAATAAATAAATAAAACGCGTAACTATGTTGAACATAATTTCTTACCGGTTTGTTTAAGTTTCTAATATAAGCTGTTGTTTTAAAGCCAGTATCTCGCTGGGCTTTGACCAGTTAATAATTAACACAGAGGACACGATATCGTTAAAGTGGACAAAGAAATAAAAAACAGTTCGGCAAACTTTGCACATCGTTTAGTTACATAGAAAAATGGCCAGTATTTAGAAACCAGAGTACTGCATATGGAACATTATACAGCAATCTATAGCAATGGACAAGTAAACATATTGTATAACCTTTGACCTTGATTTGTGACCTTGAAACTAGTGTCATGAAAAGATTATGCAACGCGCTGTCTAGTGGTGCTAAGAATGTGTCAAGTTTCATTAAATTGTCTTGAGTGGGACGGAGGTTATGCTTGAGAAAAGTATTTGTTTTAACTTTGACCTTGATTTGTGACTTTGACCTTGGAACTGGAATGATGAAAAGTTAACAAGTAACAGTCTGTTGAAGAGGTTTGGCTAAATTATTTTGAGTCGATCTGATGTTTTGGTCAAAAAACAAAGTCCTTGTTTTAATGTTGACCTTGATTTGTGACCTTGATCTTGGAACTGGGGTGAAGTATACATGACACTTGGTCTGGTGATGACGCCTCTGTGTACGAGGTTTTGTTAAATTATTTTGAGTGGATCAGAGGTTTTGGTTGAAAAACAAAGTCCTTGTTTTATCTTTGACCTTGATTTGTGACCATGACATTGGAGCTGGAATGATGAAAAGTTTACAAGACACTGTCAGTTGATGACACCTCTGTGTATGAGGCTTGGCTAAATTATTTTGAATGGATCAGAGGTTTTGGTCGAAAAACAAAGTCGTTGTTTTAATGTTGACCTTTATTTGTGGCCTTGACCTTGGAGCTGGGGTGATGAAAAGTGTACGTGACACTGTCTAGTGACGACACCTCTGTGTATGAGGTTTCATTAAATTATCTAGAGTGGATTAGAGGTTATGGGTGGGGACAATAGAAAGTTTAGACCATACCGTAATAAGCACCGCCTTTGACAAGTGTTTAAAATAAATGGCTGCTCAAAACACAGAACTACTTTCAGTGTTTCCCCTACCGTTATCCAAGGAGGGCGCCCCACCCCGTCAAGAGAACCGAGCGCCCCGCCTACCAAGAGTGTCCTTCACCCAAAAACACCCCCTCCCTATTAACACCTGATGGCACTGATGTAGCGCTAAGCTAGTTGGGCACAATAGAGACACTAGCTATAAAGCTACAGACGCAGCCCCACGTCAACAAAAATCTGCCAAGACATGAGCGCTCTGCCAGGCAATTGATATATGGGGGCGGAGATGGTGTAGAGGCAGGGCAGCCGGCTAGGGACCCGAAAGTCGAAGGTTCGATCCTCGGTCACTGCATATCTTGTGGTGTCTCTGGGCAGCACACTTTATCCACAAAAATGCCCTCCGGGCGCTTTCAATAGCTGCCCACTGCACCACCTGGTGGTGGATGGGTTAAATGCAGAGACTAATTTCGCCATTGTGTGGAAACATACTGTGATGACATTATTATTATTATTATATAGGAAACACTGACTTTCTTGCAATTTTGAGTGACCTTGACTTTGGTTCAACAAAAAACGACGTTCGTTTTGTAAAACTTTCGTACGTCTGACGGTACATAAACAGCAACGCTTTGAGCTTTAGGACTGAACTCCTGGAAGATGGACAAAACGTGAAATCGACAGAATGTCAAGACTTCTACTTTGGTAACGATCCATGCCGCGTTTAAGGAAACACTTAAGCACATGAACAGGAAGTAGAGCGAGACGGTAATGTCGCCATCAGTGAGCAACCTGTTGAACTTCCTGAGCGATGATTCCAATGACGCCAACGGCTCGAACGGAGGCAATACACGTTTCCCCGTCGTGAAACGAAAAGAGGACGAGAGACAACCGTATTGCTGATGACCCGACTGATTTAAAACCCTTAAAATAGAAAAAGGTCGGCACCCTCCCACCCCGCTCCACCACCTTTCCCCTCCACTCTGGCTTTCGTTTGCTTTACGCGTCGACTCTGCTGGACAGAGTTCACGTCTAACAGAGATGATGTAACGATTTTGTAACAGTGCGTTTTCAGCACAAACTAAAACTCCGGTCTGATGTTTGAACCGACACCAAAACTAAAATGTTGATGGTGAGGACGTTTGAGGTCGTTTTAGCCTCCATCCATCTTTGGTTGTAAAAGAAGTGAATATTCCACTTTTCAAGGTTCGACAATAGTTCGACAGGAGGTTTTGGAGGCTACAACACTTAATGCATCGGCTTCCTAAAGCAGAAAAAATGAGTACCGCATACAGCACATCAAACGTCCGTCGACAAACTATTATACAGCGGAGCTATGGCAACGGTCCGGACAAGCAAAGACCTTGTAAAACCTTGGACCTTGATTTATGACCTTAGAGTTGGCAAGATGAAAAGATTACATGTATCAGTGGTAAAAATGTGCTTCAGTTTTAGTTAAATTATCTTGAATGGATCAGAAGTTCATGCCCCGACAATCGAAGACTTTGATTTAGCTTTGACCTTGATTTGTGACCTTAGAGCTGGCGAATGAAAATATGTTGCATGTAGCGATGGTAATAATGTGTATCAGGTTTGGTTAAATTATCTTGAACAGATCAGAAGTTGATGCCCCAACAACCAAATATGTTGATTTGGCTTTAACCTTGATTTGTGACCTTAGTGCTGGGGAGATGAAATGCGTTTGTTGCACGTAGCGGTGATAAACGTGTATCAGGTTTTGTTAAAATTATCTTGAATGGATCAGAAGTTATAGCCTGAACAACTAAAGACTTTGGTTTAGATTTGACCTTGATTTGTGACCTTGGAGCTGGCAAGCTTAAATATATATGTTACATGTACTGGTGGTAAAAACACATATCTGGTTTTGTTCAATTAACTTGAACAGATCAGAAGTTAATCTCCTGACAACCAAAGACTTTTGTTTAGCTTTGACCTTGATATGTGACCTTGGAGCTGGCGAGATTCAAATAAATGTTACATGTTGTAGTGGTAAAAATGTGTATCAGGTTTTGTTAAATTATCTTGAACGGATCAGAAGTTAATGCCCTGACAACCAAAGACTTTGTTTTAACTTTGACCTTGATTTGTGACCTTAGAGATGGCGAGATGAAATGTTTGTTACATGTAGCGGTGGTAAAAACGTCTCAGTTTTAGTTATATTATCTTCAATGGCTCAGAAGTTAATCTCCTGACAATCAAAAACTTTGGTTTAGTTTTGACCTTGATTTGTGACCTTGACTTTGGACCCGCTTCTCACAAACTGCTGGTTTAGTTGCTCTCACCTTTCCAGTGGACTTCACTCCCTTCCAGACACAGAAGTAGCAGATGAGCCAGACGGCGGCCAAACACAGAGCCAGCTTCCAGCTGACCGGACCCAGCTCGTCCAAAGAGTCCGACAGCTTCAGCACCTCCCGCCTGAAACGCAGAGGCAGGTGTCATTTCTGACGACACCCTGAACGACCCGGTAAAGCTTCCCCACTCACTCCCAAAACTCCATGACAGGAGAGGTGGCGTTCTCGGGCAGACTGCTCACGTTGGACGTCTGGTTGCGGTGGCTGAACAGAACGCACGCATCTGGAGAAGGAAAGCAGACATACGAGACTTCAGCCGCGTGGTTCGGTTCTCCAGAGGAGCTCAAACCGTCGCACCGGCAGCTGCCGCTCGTACTGACTCGTGTTCCACGTGTTGTTGCAGTGCGACCACGGCAGCTCCGTCTGGAAGCTGTAGCTCAGGTAGAAGAGCGCCCACGCCAGGATGACTATATAATACACGCAGCCATGGAGGATCATCACCTGGCTGGCGTAGCCGAGGCCTGCAGGGACGAGGAAAAAGAAAAAGTTAAAGACGGACGGCAAATAAAAGTGCGTTGAGACACCGAAGCACAAATAATCCTCAAAGCCTCCATGTAGACACGTTTTAGTACCAACGTCCTTCAGTTCCAGATGGAAGCATCTCGACTTGCCGCATAATTTGTGTTCCCTGGGAGGGTGACGATGATGATGGTCTGATCCTGATGAGACTGACTGATCAGCCCTTTAATCTGACTAAATGACCAATCCAGCCTGAACCGAAGCACGTCTCGGATTGTAAGTTTGTAACGGCGCATCTGACAGCGTAAACATCGATTCAACAGTTCGGCTCATTCTGCGACGATTAGTGTAGATACCTCCTTGAAAAACCTCAGTTTGGAGAAATGCAGCTCGACAATTAACGGATGTTCAGTTCTTACGCGCATGCGCCTGTGAGACCGGGTCAGAGGTTGATCAGGTACGAAAGGTCTACCTTCCATGAAACGTATCTTCACCAGCATACCCCTCAAGGAAATCAGCATCAGAAAATATATTCCAAGAAGAAAGAACTTCCAGATGATGACTACTGCAGCAACAGTAATTAGAGAGACAGGTAGGAAGGTACTCGGTGTGTCATCTGGACAGAGAATGGATAAGGAAACCTGGTGGTGGAATAGTGAAGTGCAGGACGCCGTTCACAGAAAGAGATTAGCCAAGAAGAAATATGACCGTGAGAGGAGACAGGAATATAAGGAGATGTGAGGAAGAGGAAAGTGGGAGGTACCAAAGGCAAAGCAGTAGATGAGTTGTACGGGAGGCTGGACACTAAAGAGAAGGACTTGTACCGATTGGCGAGACAGAGGGATCAGGCTGGAAAGGATGTGCAGCAGGTTAGGCTTGTTAAAGATTCATTCATTCATTCTTTCAAATTTTACTTATGCAGGTTAGTCTCATTGAGCCTCGAAGACTAATTTACAAGAGAGACCTGTTTATAACAAAGAATGAAGACAACTGTAGACAATCATAGAAGAACGTATACAAACTGAAAAATAAATAGAAGAAAATTATATTAAGAAACTAAACAAAAACAGCTAGATTGTAAAGCGATATAAAATACTAAAAACAGGAGTATGTCTGTGTTTTTGCCATGTTTGAAGCCATTTAGAGAGGTCAAGGTTGAGAGCTTCAGATCTTTTTGCAAGATATTCCAGGAAACAGGAGCAGAGTAGGAAAAGGTCCTTTTGTCTAGTTCAGTTCTCACTGAGGGAACACTGCAGGTAATAATGTCCTGAGAGCGCACGCTGTAGCTGCACTCACGCAGAGACATCTAGGAGGAGATGTATGAAGGCAGCAGACCAAGAAGTGATTTAAAGATGAAAATGTACCAGTGGGAGAGTCTGCGTGAAGTTAATGGTGTCCAGTTAACCAGTGAATACTGGGTGCAGTGGTGAGTACGGTAATCACAGCCAGTTATGAATCTTAGTGCACCGTGATAGACAGCATCCAACATCTGCAGGGTGCTTGTAGGAGCGTTCATGTAAATGATGTCACTATAGTCAATGGAGGGAAGGAAAGTCACAGTTACAAGGCGTTTTCTAGCATTCAGAGTTAAACAGGATCTGTTTCTGAAAAAGAAACCCAGTTTAACTTTCAGTTTCTTTACTGGGTTTTCCACATGGAGCTTAAAAGAGAGATGCGAGTCGACCAAGATACCCAAATATTTGTAAGAATCGAAAAACTCAATCGGGGCACCATTTGAGGATAAAATCAGAGGAAGAACTGCTGGGACAGACTTGATGTTTGAAAAAAGCATCCCTTTGGTTTTGTCGGCGTTTGAGACAATTTTGAGACGGAACAAATCTGACTGGATGATGTCGAAGGTGGATTGCAAAAGCTGGAAAACCTTAGCAACTGTTTTAGCTCGACAATAAACAACTGTCATCAGCATAGAAATGTAAGGATGCGTCAAGGATGCTCTGACCTACATTACCCATGTAGACTGTAAAGAGAGTGGGTCCTAAGACTGAGCCTTGTGGTACACCATTGTTGACTGTTAGATAACTGGAGGAAGTACCATTATGTTGAACACACTGACTCTGATCTGAGAGATAGTTAGAGAACCAACCAACAGTGTAATCTGAGAAACCAGTTTCTGAGAGCTTATGACACAAGATGTCTCGGTCCACAGTGTCAAAAGCTTTAGACAGGTCTAAGAAAAGTGCAGCACAATAATCCTCAACATCCAGAGCTTCAACAACGTCATTAAAGATATAGATAGGATTTGTAATGTTCTAACAAGTGAGGAGAGTGAGAAGATGGAACGAGTACTATGAGGAGCTAATGAATGAAGCGAATGAAGAGTAAAGGTCATAGAAACTGTGGAACAGGAAGTGGGGGGGGGGGGGGGGGAAGGTCTATAAACTACATAGGAGCTTTAATAGTGTTGTTTTTTTTAGTAAAATTTATGGTGAAAATACACCATTAGCTGTCATTTCTACATCAAATTTGATTTCTAGAGAGAATCTGTGAACCCGTATTTGGTGTTTCAAGTTGCAACGCCAACCCTGGAAACCATGACACGCACACAGCCCATATTTTCTACACAAACTGAGCTTGAACCGTCAACCCAGTTCCTCTAGAACTAGACAGCAACATCAAACGATAAGAGATAATGGCACTAAAACAACCATACTAGACTGGAAAAGTCGCCCAAACTTCTGGTAAACAGAACACAAGAAGGTAAAACTGTTGCATAATCAAAGAAAAAACATTCAAACTTTTAAACTTTATACAAAAACATTAGTTTGGGCCATGGTGAAACGGCGTAAAATGTCTAACTGTCCCACAACAGACAAAACATGGACTCAGCAACAGTAACACCAACCAAAGATGGCCGACTCTAGACCAAACAAGATTACCTCCAAATAACGGACAAACAGTCCTCCAGGCGCTGACCCCTCCCAGGCTGGTGAACTGTCCCAGAGAGGTCTCCAGGAGGAACAGGGGGATGCCACACAGAACCAGGAACAACAAGTACGGCACAAAAAACACACCTGCAAACAGAAAAAAGGTCAAGAATCCAGGAGCTGCCGCCCGAGGCAGGGAAACGTTTCCTCCTCACCTCCTCCGTTTTTGTAGCAGAGGTATGGAAACCTCCAGACGTTCCCCAACCCGATGATCTGCCCAGCCACGGCCAGGAGGAACTCCGCCTTGCTGGCCCACTGGCCTCTGGCCTGCAGGCCGTCTCCGGGGACTTCTCCCCCGTTGGGGGGGCCTTCTCGCTGGAGCTTCAGCAGCTGGTCGGCCTGGTGTCGCGGCTGCGGGTCGGCCATCACGGGTTCAGGCAGAGACACACACACCCCCCTGAGGAGAAGAAAGACGTTAATAAATAAGGCAGCGTGGAAGAATAATGAGCAAAAAGTCTAAAGAGCGCACATTTTATCCACCGAGACCGAGGGGAAGCACCGTCTGACTGAGCCTGGCTGATTTTTGCTTATCTGAGAGGTGCTTCTCAAGGACGACCTGCGAGGGAGTGTCCTTTATCTGCCGGCTGCAGGACACGCAGTGGGCGACTGCGTTCGCTTCAGCTCATCGGCTTCAAACAAACTGACCAACACAGGAACGGTTCTTAACATAACGAACCTCAAAGAAACAGGAACTTTTAGCAACAAGTTTATACCGTCACGTCTGACAACTCTGCGTCTGTAAGAGTAAACGACTGAGACGAGGAGGAAACAAAAAGTTTTCATTTCAGCACATCCACGTGACGTCACGTGTGTCGCAGCATGGCAGCACTGATGGGAGCTCCGCTTCGACTCGCTTTGTTTTTGTCGCAGCTTCTTTGCACACTGTACACCCGCGCTACAGGTACGACCGCGATGCACTCTTGGAGTTTTGTGTGTCGCTGCCTTGCCATCCTGCCATTGTGGTTCAGTTCCCAGCCCTCTTCCAGCCTCAGGCTCCGGACTGTCACGGAGGCCGTCTCCATGATCCTCCACCTGCCTGAACGGACTGAACTCTACGGAAAAGTTCGGTTCCACAGGGAAACCTCGAATGTTCTGTGTCTGCCGGACCCGGTTCTGGAGGGCAGTTGTTGTCCATTGCCAAGGTCGTTATTATCATTACGCTGCTAACGGGACTGCACTACTAACAGAACCACGCTGATACCAGAACCACGCTGCTAACAGCACCACGTTGCTAACAGCACCATGCTGCTAACAGAACCGTGCTGCTAACAGAACCGTGCTGCTAACAGAACCGTGCTGCTAACAGAACCGTGCTGCTAACAGAACCGTGCTGCTAACAGAACCGTGCTGCTAACAGCATCATGCTGCTAATAGAACCACACTGCTAACAGAACGACACTGCTAACAGAACCACGCTGCTAACAGAACCACACTGCTAACAGCATCATGCTGCTAACAGAACCATGCTGCTAACAGAACAACACTGCTAACAGAACGACACTGCTAACAGAACCATGCTGCTAACAGAACGACACTGCTAACAGCATCATGCTGCTAACAGAACCATGCTGCTAACAGAATCATGCTGCTAACAGAACGACACTGCTAACAGAACCATGCTGCTAACAGAACGACACTGCTAACGGCATCATGCTGCTAACAGCATCATGCTGCTAACAGAACCATGCTGCTAACAGAACCATGCTGCTAACAGCATCATGCTGCTAACAGAACCATGCTGCTAACAGCATCATGCTGCTAACAGAACCATGCTGCTAACAGAACGACACTGCTAACAGAACCATGCTGCTAACAGAACGACACTGCTAACAGAACCATGCTGCTAACAGAACCATGCTGCTAACAGCATCATGCTGCTAACAGAACGACACTGCTAACAGAACGACACTGCTAACAGAACCACACAGCTAACAGAACCACGCTGCTAACAGAACCACACTGCTAACAGAACCA